AGAAGACTTTTTTTTTTCTTCTTTCAGGGGGTGAGTGAAGGCTGAATCTGCCCAGTCACACCATGGACAGCTGTGTAACATACACACTTTTAAAATATCTAAACGTGAATTAATCGTAGACCTCCATCCACAAGAGCAATAAACATACTTTTTGGTGAATCGATCTGCAAAAATTATGTTTTAAAAATCTAGGCAAATACATAAACAGATTTGACAGAGGAACATGGCCATCATCAGTTAACGTCTTCACAGTGTATCGTTCAAAAAAAAAAAAAAAAATCAGAGCACACAATATCTAAAACCATAAAACCAATATGGAAATTGTTTTTTAACTCACTTCAGTATATTTGGTGTGCTTGCTCCTTAAATGCCAAGAAAATTAACTTTAAGAACCTCACAAGAATTTATAGCCTCTGATCTTAAATTTTAAAAATGTTTGTAGGGGCTTCCCTGGTGGCGCAGTGGTTGAGAGTCCGCCTGCCGATGCAGGGGACGCAGGTTCGTGCCCCGGTCTGGGAAGATCCCACGTGCCGCGGAGCGGCTGGGCCCGTGAGCCATGGCCGCTGAGCCTGCGCGTCCGGAGCCTGTGCTCCGCAACGGGAGAGGCCACAACAGTGAGAGGCCCGCGTACCGGAAAAAAAAAAAAAAAAATGTTTGTAATATCCCACTGTAGTAGCCAAGCGCCAGCTTTAGAAATAGAGTCCCAATGCCAAGTGAACTACACAAGCAAGGCAAAAGGGTAAAAACTCACTGTAGTTGTATGGTTCATCTAGTTTTACATTTCTTATAAGTGTTTTTACAGAGTACACAGTAAACCGTTTAGAGTGATTCAATGTAACCTGCTTCTATGAGTTCCATCATTTATTTACACCATCTTAAATATAATGTAACAGAGCCTTTCATTCAAGTGTATCTATACGGTAGATTGTTATATGCTTTCTATTCTGTAGAAATATAAACATTAACTACTTATTTACAGCAACATTCTTACTGCAATATTAATTTCCTTATAAAAGACTGCAAAATTATAGGGTCACAAATTGCTAGACGATTCTTTGTTCCTGTGCCATATATGAGGCATGCTGAAGCAACCCATGCTTTTGTTTTGCTCGTATAAAGTGATTCATCAATTTTTCCTCTCACATATTTCTAGATTCCAGGAGAATGTAGCCAGTGTATGTATTTTATTTTTATCATTATGCTAAAAATCCGGTGCATATGTGCATGTATTTACAGGCAAACCGTATATATGTAATAGTATGAATGTGAATTGATAACAATTTCCTTTATAAGATGTCAAGGAGATAGTACAAACAAAATTAAGTATTCAGTAAAAGTTTTGGTTTGCTTTGTGTAACTTTTCTAACTCTTCTGATGCATGAAATAACTAGATTTAGCTTGAAATACTTTTTCCAAATAAGTAAATCTATGTAATCTCTATAGGATTCCATGAGTTTTCATTCTAATATTCAACAGGTTTTTATCAGCTTTGCTCTGGGCAGCCACAGTAAAGCATAACCTTTGAAAATGTAAAGAATTTCATTATACATGAATCCATAAATCAGAAATATAAGGATGCAAATAAAGGCTCAGGAATTACAGGTGCTAAACAGTTTCTCAGGACCTAGAGTTGAATCATCAGGATTGTGTTTCACATTAGAATATATTTTAAGTTAAAAACTAGTATTGTTTTCAAAGCATTTACAGTTTAGTAGCATTAACATTTATCAACTAGAGCAACTCACCGTTATAATGTCGTAATATTGGAACCTCATCTTTTACTTGTGTTCAGATGTTAATTATACATTTTTATAAAATGTCGGTTACATATTTGAACAGAAAGGTTGGCTGGAGCCACAAACGATAGTCAAATCACATAACTGAGAATTAAATTCATATGAAAATGTGTACATTTTGATATGTTTCTAAAAATCAAATGAGACTTCAATACAGTGCTGTAATTTTGAAAGGCTATTTGAGAATATGGACATTTACTTTTCACATTAAAATGTCCTGTTGGGTGTTCATTTTAAATATTCTTTTATAAATTGCCTGTTGAAAAAATCTGATTTACAAGAAACACTCTCCCTACCTTTTTCCACCATGGTTCCTTGTAGTCCTGACATTTCTGTGTGATTCTCATATTAGCCTTGGGGGGATGGGCAGAAGGTGCAGGGCTGTTTTCCTCACTCTACAGATGGGGGAACTGCGGCTCAGAGATGGGGCTGCTCAAATTGGGCTTCAAATATAGACGTCCCTTTTTTCCCAATTAAAGATATATTTCAAATTTTGATCTGACCTATATATTTTTATAGACCTTACACAAGAGCTTCATCTCCCTCAAAGTTCCTTAGCCAAACAGAACCTTGGCAGGAGCAACAGAAGATGATCAACAACTTTAGAAGCACTAATGTCCTGGCTTCTTCCTAATGTAGTTTCTGGCATCCGTTTAAAAAAAAAAAAAAAAGTGATAAAGTTTTCCTTCCTAATATAAAATCAACTCCTGAAACATACTTATTTTTAGATAGCTCAATTTAGTAACTTATTATTAGACAGCATACCCAAATGACAACCTATATGTAATACATTTATAACTACGAAGAAATGTCTATTACAAATTAGTAAGCAATAAAAAATAACAACTTCTCATACGTCTTTCAGTCTCAGACGTGCTATACTGTCTCTCACTGAGGACTGTTTGCTCTTTGTTTTAAATTGAACATAAGGTTGAGGAAATGAGGGAAAGAGGACTAAATAGCTAAGGGCAATAAAATAGAGAAAAATCTTAGCTATGATCCTGCTGTGTATGTTACCAGCATTAATAAATAATGCTCTTGTCAGGAGTATGTCTTCTACTCACAGAGCCAAAATATCCCAAATGCTTTCCGGTTGATGATTTCTGATACTTTTTTTCCCTTACAAAATGTAACAGCATCTTGATTCAAATTAATTCTGCATCCTGTTGTGCACCTAAGGCCAGTAAAACTTACACCCTTGGCCCAACTTTACGTTTTCATGTGTAGAATCCCCACTGCATTTCTTATTTGAAAATGAAACCCATCCTCACACACATCTTAGAAACACCTGACGCGATCATCAAAGGTCAGTTTCTTGTATATCTGTGTTCTCTGATTGAAATATTGGATTGGACCTTGTACTACATCAAAGATTAGATGTGATAAAAGCAGCTTGCCTCCCCATCAAACCTTTTTAATGCTCTTTTTCACATAATACCTCCCCCCAAATCTTTCTGTGTGAAAAATAGATTTTTAAGGGTGCAATATACATCTGGACCCAAAGCTAGATCTGCCTCTGTCGCTGTGTGTTTTTCTGTGTATTTTCTAAAGAGTAAACAGTATGGGTTTAATTTCCCCACGCCCTTGATCCTTGGCCTTTCCTTACACACATTTTGAGAGTTGGGAGGCGAGGTGGAGGGAGAAACCAAGTCAGACATCAAACCCATTTATTCTGCATCTTAAATTATGACGTTTTATCATCAATATTTTGGTTACATTGTTACACAAAGGACAAATTAACATCCGGTTTGAGGTTTCTTCTTTGATTGCTTTGGGATCAGTGCCATTTCCTTGGCGTACGAATCCTGCACCCATCAACTCTCAGCTGTTTTAATAATATTGTTGTACAAGGCGCCAAACAACAAGGATTTGGGAAACTGCTTCTAGGGCACCTCTGCCGACACCTTCAACCGCTGCGATTTCCAGGTGGCCTCCCGCCAGGCGCTCCCAGGGGAGTGTCAACACCCTCTGGCCTTGGTGGGTCAGAAGAGGATCCTGATGGGGAAGAACCGGTTGGTCCCGTCGACTCTGAGGCGCCTGATCGCGGTGCGCTCACCCAGAAGTGGATCCAGCTGAACAAAAACATGCTGCCTGGAAGACCCAGGTGTGCTCAGCAAAGAAACCATGTGATCGGGGACTTGGTCATCACAGCTTCCATGCCAATCTGACATGATTCAGGCCACCCAGGAACATCAGTCTCTTAAAGTATTCCAGAATGTGAATTAAAAAAAAAAAAAAAAATCCAGGTTGTTAGTTCCAAAAGTGCCTCTGAGAGAATCTCTTCGAAAGAATAAGCAGAAATGTCCATTTGTCATTTTCACTTTGCTCTACAGGTACCTTTTGTTTGGTTTGGTCTCCTCCAAAACAAAATACACAGTTATTTTTTGTTTTGTCTTGTTTGGTCTCATCCAGGAATTCAACACACATTTTTCTCTCCTCACCCCAGCACAAAAGATCAGAGCAGGGGTGTGGACGGAGAGCTGTGTGTGGGAAGGAAAGTAGTTTCTTGGGGAGAACACACACACACACACACACACACACACACACACACAGACACACACACACACACACACACACACACACACGAACAATACAAAACAAAACTGGCAGTCCAGTGGCGCAAAATTTGCTTCTCCGGATAAAGCACTTCTTAACACAATGTTCCCTTCCCCCTCCCGCGTCCTCCCATCCACCCGGGGTGGGGAGGAGAACAGCATGAAAGCGAAGCCATTCTTTTTCTTAAGGCTGAACAGACACACAGAGAACACATTTCAAGGACTGTCGGGCGGTGGTGATTGGCAGGGCCCTCGCTGTGAGCCCAGCCTGCAGCCTGCGGGCCATTCCGGGGGCAGCGGTACCAGGTACAAACAAAGAAGAGAAGTCAGTGGTCCCAGTGATAACATCCCATATCGACTTTCCAATCGCAGGTACAGATTGCTCAGATCTGTCATTTCATTTCTCCTTCAGACCCTGTCATCTAAAACTAATTAGAGGTCAGGTTGCAGAGAGGCATGGTCAACATTCAAAGAAAACACTGGAGGTTCCGAAGGCGATCACGCTTCGACCACAACAGTCCGACGAAGGAGGCTAGAAACAAGCTGTCCTGTTCTGGCAAGTTCGGGGTGTTAGGAAGGGTGAACTCCTGCATCCAGGTGGCAACTTCCCCATCCTCGGCGGGGGCAGGGCGGGGCGGGGATTCTGCGTTCATAGAGGGAAAACCAAGAAGCCCGAGAATGTGGAGTACTTCCAGCCTCCCATGAGGTTGCCCCTCTCCAGTTTGAGGTGGACTTTGTCCTCCCTTTCCATCAGCAGCAGGACACCGTTGCTGGCAGCTTCTCTGGTGACGTCCTGGTCCCCTGCGAAGGCGGAGATCACCGGGTAGCCGTTCTGCATTAAGCTGACCTGCGAGGCAGAGGATATAAAGCTCAGTTGACCACGATGGACCCCATCCCATCCACTTGTTCTCATCTCCCCCCCCTCCTCTCCCCACCCTGGCCATGGACCTGGACCCGTGCGGGGTCCTGACCCAGAGGACTCAGCTGGTGTCCAGGCCCCCGTGACCCCCGTCCCTGGTCCTCCCTGCCTCGCAGACGGTGTGACTATTCATCCACAGCCGAAAGTGTCCAGCTGTCAGAGCGACCCACCTGGATGGTTTGTCTGTTGTACACTTTGACCACGTGGAAGCTGAAGCTATAAATCCCTTTTCTCGGGGCTACAAATATACTGGAGGCGAGATCGAAATGGTTGCCAATATTTACTAAGACCTGGAAAAGAAGAGGGCATACAGCACACACAGAGCAAGCCCCTCCTCAGCGTGTGTTTCAGTCAGACTCACAAAATCACCCCCACCCGCCCCTTTAGGAGCTGAAGCACCACCGCAGCACCTGCTCAGGGCGCCCAGGCCGCCCCAGGAAGGAAGCAGCCCCGGAGCGCAACGTCCTGCCGAGGAATTGATTTCCGAAGGATGCTAATGGATCGTAATTCAAAAGGATGGCTTTAGAGTATATTTTATTTATGCGTTGGAAACATGGATGCAAATTGTGGCTGCTGTGGGCAGGGCTGAGAGAAAGCAGGGGAAGACGATCAGCTCGGTAGACACACTGAGTCTGTTCAGAGGTCCGTGGGATTCTGGGGACTTGAACGTGAGGCGTGGACCAAAACAGAGCTCCGTCCTGAATGGGCAGGGAAAGGGCTGTGGCGTAAGAGGCCAACTCAGTGAGATAACTTCTGTCAGATAAAGCTTGGGACGAGCTTTGTGTGCTTTAGGAGAGAACAGACCGACCGTGTGAGGTTTCCTCTCTGTTTCCCAGCCCCAGGCATGCCCCTCCCCGCCGGCAGCACACAGTAGGTGCTCAATAAAGGCTGCTGGGTGAAAGACCACACTCCATAAACACTGGCTGCGCCCATTTCCCCTCACTTTACTCCACATGAGGTGTCTGCTCTCTAAGCTGAGCTATGATGTCATGCAAATAAGCTTGGACAACTAAAGGGAGAGTGGAAAGGCAGCTCGGACACCCTTAGCTCAAACGGTGGGAACTCCGCAAGGTGCGAGAATAACGACAAGATGAGCCACGAGATACAAAGTCACGTGACCCTCCAGGTGCTATTTCTCAAGTAAAAGACGGATGAGACTGTCAGGATGTCATAAGCAGAACTTGGAGAGTGGAGGGTCCCCCCATTATGAACAGATTCCCTTTCAGATATTCAAGGCGGAATATGGCCCCTCTGTCTGGACCTGTCCCCATTCCTCCTCACACACACATGCACAACTCAATTAAAATAATAAAATGGCCCGCCTGGTGTTCTCAGCTTTTAAAATGAACAGCCAGCAACAACAGAATCCTAGATTAGAGACCCTGTCATCTGTTCAGAAAATAAATTTTAACCTCACACCCTTTGCTGTTATTTTGTACACACTCATTACAGATGGATCACACACGGCTCCCAGAGCAACGGGCAGGGTGCCACTGATGACTGCTGGGATGGCTGGGGACTGCGCCACACCAGCTTCTTCAAGGAGCTCCAAGCAGTACTTCAGCCCCTCGACTGCAGGGCTCAGAGACACTCAGGCTCTATTGTTAAAGGCGATGTGCTTCAGCAGGTGCCTCCGAGGCTGTGTTCCTGTCTGCCTGACAAGGCTTGAGAAGAGAACAAAGCCTCCCCTCTCCAAGCCCTCAGCGCTGCTTCTCCCAACTCAACGGCCTCAACTCTCGCACCTCCATTTCTAATTCAGGAAACTGGTAAATTCAGGGCCTTGCTGTAGACGGAAGAACACCCACCAGCCCCAGAAAAGCAAGTTTCACTTACTCCCTAACTGGGGAACCAGAGAAGCATCACTTAATCTGCCCTGTCATAGTTTGCTCATCTATAAAATTAGAATCCTACTACTACTTAGCCTGCCTACGTCACAGAGGGTTTTTTTTGACACCCTAATGAAAGGGCAGATGTAAAAATGCTGTGAAAACGAATTCACTGCCTGCTTTAGTTGGACATAATTAAATTAAAGACATGTATGTCTCGGAAGAAAAAAACAGATTAAAGAGAGACACGCCCCGTACACACCCCTCCCCAATTTCAAGTACATAATCCTTAACAAGGATTAAAGCAAATAAAGACACTGGCCTAAGAAGAGGCTTTGGCGTGTGCAGATGCGTCACCACTCAGGCATGCGAGTTGGTTAACGGAGAGAAAGGAACCCAATCAAGTGTGCTCAGTAAGCCCGAGCTCCCTGTGTGGGAAGCACTTTGGCACAAGGAATGGAATGGTGAGGTAAAGTTTGGAAACCACTCTAATGTTTCCTGTTTGCTTCCAAAAAGCAACAGAAACCAAGGTGGGGAGGGAGGACACCAGAGGAAGGTGGAGACCTCTAATCCTGGGCAGCAGTAACCCAGAGAAGGCGTTGCCAAAGCCTGATCATATGCAGACCCTTCTGCTTTGAAGCCAGTGGGAGAAGTTGAGTGGCTGGAGCAACTTAAGTCATGGCTCTTCATTTTGTGTTTTCTTCATATACATCGATCTGCGTTTTATGATACGTTGTATATATTGTATTTACCGTACATGGCATTCATATAACCACACTCGGTTTGGTTTTGTTTATCTATAACTATACCTGCTATTTCCTCCCCCCACTCTCCCCCCCTTATTTTTCTGAAGACAGGCATCCTCTCCCCAGTCCTTTCCAAAATAAGCAGTAGGTACACATTTTCGGAGCCTCGGCTGAGACCCTCGGAGAACCCGCGGGCTGAGCGGGGAGAGTTTAAATGCGCTCGGTCCCTAAGTGGCCAGTGGGGTGACAGAAGGCCATCCACCACAAAGGACGGCCCCCATCCCAGCGAAAAGCAAAACGTTCACTGTCCTTTCGGGAAATCTATTTCAGCTCTCTTGGCTCTCCGGGACGCCTAGCTTTTACAGGACTCTCAGTCACCCCAGTGCCAACTGAGCTGATTAGTTCTAAAAAAGCTACAGTGTGAAAAGGAGAGCTTGCTGGAGAAGGGAGAAAGGGCAGAGAGGAGGGGAGAGCCTGGAACTCCACGTCCCGGAAGCCGGCGACCCCCCAGGCCCCCCGCCCTCCCCACCCTGGGAGGGAGGCGAGGGGCAGGCCGGCCGGCTGACCTGGTCGAAGTAGATGGTCATGGTGCGGTTGCTCATCTCGGACGGCTCGTGGTTGGTGCTCCGCGTGGCGGAGAAGGCCACCTTGGCGCTACCGGAGCGCACGGAGATGCCCAGGGAGGAGGTGACGGCGCCGTCCGCCGACGGGCTGGAGTCGCACACCACCAGGCACTTGCCCTCCAGCACGATGGGCTCCGTGTCATTCTGAGCCCGCACGGGGCAGCCGGCGGGCAGCAGCAGCAGCAGCAGGGCCAGCGCCGCCCCCAGGCTGGAGCCGCAGGCGGCCGGCTCGCGCAGCGCCCCCCGGCGCCCAGGCATGGTCAGCGGCGGCCCGCGGGGGCCCCGGCCGGGCGCCGGCATCCGGGCTGCGGGGGGCGGCGCGCGGGGGCGCGGCGAGGGCGGGAGGGCGCGCGGGAACGCGCGGGGCCGTGAGTAGCCTCCTCTGGCCTCGGTCCCCTGCGCCGATGGTCAAGGCCGGGGTCGTCCTCAGAAGAAAGGCGCCAGCGGACCTGTCAGGGCAAAGAACCCAAACCCTGAGACAGGGAGGTGAAGCTGCGTGCGGAGGAGGCGCGGCGAGCAGGTCCCTGCGGCGTTCGGGCCCCCTCCCTGGAGACCACTCCCTCGGTGCCTCGCACTGCTCCCCGGAGAGCCCGACTGGCACACAGGTCCCGAGAAACGCCGGGGCTCACTGGCCAGGGCATCCCCGGAAGGCTCTCGGGCGGCGCGCGCCGGGGGCGCGGTCAGGTAAGGGACCCGTAATTCCGCAGGGCCTTGGCCATAAGGACAGGGCCGGTCACCCGCGGAGACGCGGTCAACGCCACCCCGGCCCATTCAGCCCAAGGCAAAGGAGGGCTTAAGCCACAGGCAAAGAAAAAGATCCACTAAGCCTTAATGGCTTTAATTTCAGAGGCATTTTCTCTAAAGCCACACCAAGAAACCTTTTTCCCTTCTCTGCTTTCACTTTCATTCATCCTCTATTTCTCCGACCTAGAGACTTTTTTTTTTTTTTCTTAAAGCGATCCATTTAGTGAGGATCTTATCCGTTTTCCACCCCAAGAACAAATCCCCAGGAAGCTCCTTCGGGCGAATAAGAGTAAGAGGAAAAACAAAAACCAGAAAAGAAGAGAGAGAAAAATCCTAAAACCGAACATCCACTTCCAGCGCCCCCCCCTGCCAGCAGCGAGCCCCTTTGGAGAAGCCCCTCGGATCCCTCTCTCTGGCGCAGGACCAGAGGATTCCAGCGGTGGGAACCCCGAGCTTGGCTTATCGTGCAGCTTTTGTTTCCGGACTCCGGGCTCTTCTCCTCCCGGCCAGGAGGCAGCCTCTGCAGCTTTCTGCCAACTTACGCGCCTGTCTGCACTTGTAACCGGGCCCCTTCTTCCCCCTCTAAACTAGACATGTATCTCCCATACCCAGGCGAGAAACAAAAAGCAAACAAACCTCTCCCCTCACCGCCCGCAGCCTCCGAACAACTCAGCCAACTGCCTAAATAGTCCTTATAAGAAGAGACAAGTTGTTTCCCGACGGGAAGCCTCCCTCCTCAGCCCCTGAACAAAATGATCTCGATGTTCTCTCCCGCTCTCTCTCCGCCCAGACGCAGACCCGCGATGGTCCTCATTGAGACAGACGCACGAATGCAGTTAACGCGCCGATCGCGGAGGGCAGGGCCGGGTTGGGTTACCTGGAACATCCATGATGGGCGAGCACCGCGGTCCGTGAACTTGTTCTGCTCGGAGAAGATGAGCGGGAGCTGGCGGGAGGAGACACCGAGCGCGACCCCTTCTCCCGGCGTTTGGCCAATAACCGCGCCGCCCCGCCCTGCCGCTTTCCCGCGCCGGCCCGCGCACCGCACCGGCGCGTTTCGCGCCCCGCTCCGCCCCGCGCGTCCCGCCCCGCGTCTGCACCGCACCCGGGCCCGCAGCCTCGGAGGCGCCCTCGCGCCTGCTGCTGCGTCTCTCCGCCGCCCCCCCCCCTCGGTCCCGGCCTCCGGACCGCACCGCCGAGCGCCGCGGACGCCCTGAGGACCGCCCCGGTCCCGCTCTCACCCGAACACCCGGCGCGAAATCCTCCCAGACGCCTCTCTTACAGAAATTAGGCGACCTCAAGAGCGCCGGTCGCGCCTCTTCTCGATTCTTTCTTTTCTTTTCCAAATTCCCTCCAAGTCTTAATCCTGAATAGCGTGATCACTTTCATAATTAGTGGGGAAAGCAGTTTTCTTAAAAAAAAAAAAAAAAAAAAAAGAAAACGAGGACTGGGATGAAGAGAAAATCTTGGGATCTTAGTGATGTGAAAGCTGGGGTTCCGGGACCTCCAGTTTGGGAAATGCCAGGTTTGGGCAGGGATTAGAGGGGCGCCTCCGCCTGGGTTTCTGCTTCTGCTCCTCTGAACCTGGGGGGCTGGTGGGGCGCGCTGACACTCGAGCGCTTAGTTATTAAAATGCCTGCTCTAAGCTCTAACCCCCCGGGGACGCGCGCCGGGTTTCCGAGCTGCGCCCCCAGCGCGGACGAGAAGCGCAAGCACGGACGTGGGGCGCCACCTACGGGCGCTGGAGCCTCCCTGCCGCGGGCTGCGGGCCAGCGGGCTCGGGGAGAGCCGGGGAGTCCCGCGGACACGGGTAAGGCTCGCTGATGGTCCTCTTGGACCCCCCAAAGCAGTCCGGGCCTCTGCAAAAATGTAGCAACAGGAAACGATCTTTCCGGTCTCCTTCAGTGCCCTGCCCCTGAGAGAATGAAGCCGCACCCTTGCTTTTGCAGATCTTCACTGTTCTAACCACTCTGCCAGGATGATTTATGCCGCAGTCAGGTTATCGTTGCGTATCATTGTCTTCAAAACCTTTGCAAGGACCACTGGGCTGTACAGTCCATGCAGCCCTTAAACAAAGACAATATTTAAATGGACACTCTCTTTGTAACCCGACCTCTAAAGACGTCGTTAAAAAAAAAAAAACTTAGTCCTTTGACTTGCTTAGTATGCCTTTGCTGATAGGCTATTCAGAAATAAACTGTAAGTGGGCCAGTGCTGTTCAGAAGAATAGAATGAACGTATAGCTTATTCCAACAGACTTCACACCTAACCCTCTTTCGTTTGAAGATTTCAGCCAGGGCTGTGGTCCCAGCCCATAACGTGGGGCTTTGCAGGTAGGGGGTTTTCAAGGCCTTTGTTCCCATAGGCTGGGGCATGGCTCCTCTCCCTCGTTAGAACTGCCAAGGCCTCATCTCTAAGAGCGCGAGATGAAATTGACTTCACATCAGTTCCACCGAAATAGATGCGTAGGAAGACAGGGGCAAAGTGAAAACGGAACTGCATATTATTACCTGAGACAAGGTATTTAGTATGGTAGTAAAAATGTGATTAAAAGAACTTCTGAGCCAAATGTTTTCTACTTAACATGCAAAATAGGACAAAATAGCCCCCGCCAATCTATTCTCCCCCAAAGGATATTCGCTGAAAACGAAGTACTTTGCTTCAACATTTTTATAACATGCTGGTCAGATGTATTGGACTTTGTCAGGAAACGTTTTCGAAGCCACCATATTTTGTTCCATTTGTATGAGTTTAACACAGTGGAAATTGTTGATTCTTACTCTCCTATTTTTATTCCAACGTTGCATCAATTTCACGATCTCTTATTGTCAAAATAAGCACAACTCTATCCTTCCATCACAGAGAACACGGATTTGCGTGCAAACGTGAATCGCAAGGGACTCCAGATTTATGAAAGAAATGTGAGCTTGGACTGAAAATTAGACCAATTTGGGGATGCTAATTAAGTAACAATACCTCTCACATATCTATACCTCTTTAAATAGCATCTCTATTAAGCAGTTCTTAAATGTTATGCTATAAGCATTTCATTTGACTAATGCAAATGCAAACACACATGATCATCACCTTTGGAGGGAATAAAACCAAACCTCTTTTCTATGAGGCAACAAAAATGTCTAACTTGTATAAACAGTAAAACTTTATATAGGGGACTTAATTATGGAATTAAAGCAATAAGTATTCTTATATGATGGGAAAAACAGGTTAGGTTTAAATTTAGGCTTGAAATTATTTTTGGAAGGAAGTTAATAATTGTGACAGTAGCAGATTGATATAGAAATGGAACATTATTTATACACTGATCGAACGATTGTTCTGTCTATAAGGAGACATTTAGCTTTTCTCTTTGTGATGGAATTTTAGTCCATTATTGCTTAGAAAGACTTTCAGAATATAACTAAAATTTAAAAGTGAAAACGTTTTCTAGTTATCACAGGGATTACCTTTTCTATTTTATTTCCTTGTTACTAGAAACTGTTGTCATTAGCACTGTAACAGTAGACTCTATGCTCTTAAGTGTAGGGACATCCCCATCGACAATAAAAATATCAACCATTGATTGAGCATCTGTTATGTGTTAGCGCACTATTTTCTTTATCTAGAATATAACATACAGTTTAACACCCACGATCACCCTGTAGTAGACACGTGGTCACCTAGAGCCTAAGAGGAAGGTATTCTATTGTTAAAAAAAAAAAAAAATTGAGAGGGGGAGGCTATGGTAATTCAAGATCCCTTCCTTTCATTTATCCTAAGTATTTATTTCTAATAGAGCTTAAATTTGTTTCTTTGGATAGAACCCATCACTGAAAAACATCTTTAGCATGCAATGTAGTCTTTTCTTGCTTATTTAAACTAAGGCATAATATTTATGATTTTATCCTAGATAAATATGTGATAAATATGATATGCTATATATTTCATAATATTGGATGTGAAAGCTATATACATACTTTAAAACATAAATATATAAGCATTAATAAACAAAAAGTATTTTTTAAATTTAACTTTATTAGGGAATAATTGACAAATATAATTGTATGTATTTAAAGTGTACAGTGTGATGATTGGATACACATATCCATGGTGGAATGGTGACCAACATCAAGATACTTAATACAGCCATCACCTCACGTAGTTAACACAGTTTCCTCTTTCTTATTTACGTGATGAGAACGCTTAATATCTACTTTCCGCACCTTTAAGTATACAATACTGTATTATTAGCTGTGGTCACCATGCTGTAAATTAGATCCTCAGAACTTGTTCATTTTATACTGAAAATGTGTACCCTTTGACGTACATCACCCCATCCCCTCCCAGCCCATGTTAACTACCATTCTATTTTCTGTTTCTATGAAATCAGCTTTGTTTTTGTTTCATTTTGTTTTTAAGATTCCACATATATAGTTTTGACTTTGTCTGGTTTATTTCCCTTAGCATAAGATCCTCCAGATTCATCCATTTTGTCACAAATGGTAGTATTTCTTTCTTTTTATGGCTGAATAATATTCCCTTGTGTATAAATACCACAT